AATACATAACATATGTTTTATATTATACAGTACATACATGGTCATTTATAATACATAACATATGTTTTATATCATACAGTACATACATGGTCATTTATAATACATAACATATGTTTTATATCATACAGTACATACACAATCATTTATAATACATAACATTTGTTTTATATCATACAGTACGTACATGGTCATTTATAATACATAACATATGTTTTATATCATACAGTACGTACACAGTCATTTATAATACATAACATATGTTTTATATCATACAGTACATACACAGTCATTTATAATACATGTTTTATATCATACAGTACGTACACAGCCATTTATAATACATAACATATGTTTTATATCATACAGTACATACACAGTCATTTATAATACATAACATATGTTTTATATCATACAGTACGTACACAGTCATTTATAATACATAACATATGTTTTATATCATACAGTACGTACACAGTCATTTATAATACATTACACAATCATTTATAATACATATGTTTTATATCATACAGTAAATAGATGAAATTTGACATATAATATATTTTTGTACACTGGGGCAAAATTAGGGGGTGAAAGCTTTATGGTTTGTAGCCTAAAGTAATTTTACCTGCAAATAAGGGACCACCCTAACATACACCCACCCCCACACACAGTGTATAGCCGAGAAGTTTCATAAGAAATATACCACCGACAACCACATTATTAATTTAGGTGAATATATATACAAGTAAATATCGTACCTAAACTTGTGTCCTTTTGGAATCACACGAGAAAAATGTAAGGCTGATGTTCTTGCTCGCCAGTGCCACTTCTTGGCAGGAAGTGTAAATAAAGCAGCTTTTCTTCCAAGATCATTAGCTAGGGTATCAACAAGTTGTTTATGAGAACCACCATAAAACGGCTCGATCAAAAGTATCTCCTGACACACATTTCTTGTATCCATGGTGTAACCAACACGCATACAGCTGCAACGAAGAGCACATTATATCAATTAAACCTTTTTAACCTTTATTAGAAAAGTAAGTTACATTTACATGGAAAGTACATCAATAATACATGAATATATAGATTAATAAGTTACATTTACACGAAAAGTACATCAATAATACATGAATATAGATTATATAAGTTACATTTACACGAAAAGTACATCAATAATACATGAATATATAGATTATATAAGTTACATTTACACGAAAAGTACATCAATAATACATGAATATATAGATTACATAAGTTACATTTACACGAAAAGTACATCAATAATACATGAATATAGATTATATAAGTTACATTTACATGGAAAGTACATCAATAATACATGAATATATAGATTACATAAGTTACATTTACATGGAAAGTACATCAATAATACATGAATATATAGATTATATAAGTTACATTTACATGGAAAGTACATCAATAATACATGAATATATAGATTACATAAGTTACATTTACATGGAAAGTACATCAATAATACATGAATATATAGATTATATAATATAAGTTACATTTACATGGAAAGTACATCAATAATACATGAATATATAGATTATATAATATAAGTTACATTTACATGGAAAGTACAT